ATATATATATATATATATATATATATATATAAAAGAGAAAAAAACTTTATATAAAAATAGAAATAAAAACGTAATTATCAAAAAGATATCATGTTATATGTAGTATAGATATAAATATCAAATAGTAAAATATCAAAATCATATTTATATTTAGTATACGAGTAAATAATATAGTAAAAATAATTCTAATTTAAAAAAATAATATTTTTCTAGAGAAAAGTTTTAAATTAAAATATGAACTAAGATCCTGGGTCAAATTTCTCTTATTTCAAGCCACATCATGACCACTTTTCATTAGTTTCATTTCATGTGCCAAAATTACCTACCCTCAAAAAACTATATCATGGTGTATATTATTGCATTTAGTAAATAGTTCTTGTTTGAGAAATAATTATTTTCTTATCTTATAAATTATAATATAAATTTTAGAAAGTAATATTTTTATTTTCTCTACACTCTTAATTGTATGCTTTAATATTTTATTTTAAAGTATATTTTATATACTAGTAAAATGTCACAATTAGTTAAGAAAAAAATCTTTCAACAATATTAAATTATATTTTTTTGTATACTTAATTTTCTTCATCGTTTATTCTTCATTTATTTACTAATAAAAAAATTATAAAAAGATTTATATATCTTAATTTTTTCTAAATAAAACTTCGTTATTAAACGAATGAAATAAAACAAAATAAAAGTTCATAACATAAACACAAATTACCTTTTACAAAACCTTAAGAAAAATCAACATAATAAAACTATTCTAAGCTTTAAACATAAAATTTTCTAGCATCCATGTCATACTATGAGAATAAACACATAAAAGGATATAGTTTAAAAGATAAAAAAATTAAAATAAATATTTTAAAAATAAATAATCAAAATAAATTTTAAAAATAAAATAAAGAAACAGAATATAATTTAGCATATTAATATTATATATAAAAGGAGGCAAACTTTTTGTTTCAGGTTCGGATATTATTTTTACATACTAATGATAATTCTATAAAATTAAAATTTTACTGTTTATATAATAAAACATTAATTTGTTATGAATATTTGAATATAATTTTTTTTAGAAAAATTCTTATCTCATAATGATTTTTTCTTAGTACAAAATGTCGCATTTCCATTTGTTTCTTCTTGGTTCTCCCTGTCGTCCAGAGAATAAATTAATTTATTATGTAACATGCACATGATACATGAGTCACTCCATAAATTATTAGGATTAGAATCTTTAAAGTAAATTTATAACTTTAGTAATGAATAATAAAGTGAGTATATATCTCTTATTTAATTATTTAATATTTTAAATTAATTTATATGTGGAAATTCTAAAATTTAAAATATTAACATTTTAATAAAATAATTTTATTAAAAAATAAATAATGTGTAAACTTACTTTTGTTTTTAAGAATTTTGATTCTCTAATATATTTTTGGTTAAAATAAATTATATATAAATAATCATCATTATGATTGTCATATCATTATTATTGTAACTATCATCATTATCATCATCATCACTATCATCACTATTAATGATAGTGACAACAATGACTATGATGATGATAGTAGTTTATTGATATCGATAAAGTTAGTAATGATAATAGAGACGACAATAATGACAACGATACTAGATAACAATAGTGATAGTGACCATGATGATGTTGATGGTAGATTGGTAGTCATAGTAGAGATGTGGTGGTGACAATGATAGTGAAAGTGGTGATGATGATAACAATAATGATAATGATGCATATTATTTATTTTTAACTGAAAATATTTTGAAGGATCGAAATTGTTAAAAAAATGTAAATTTGCACATTATTTACTTTTGAATAAAATATTTTGTTAAGATTTATTTATTTATTTATAAGAGAATTTTTTATTTTAAAATTTAAAAATTGACATATAAATTAATCTGAACCATTGAATAATTAAATAGTAGAAATAAGCTCAAATTATTCTCTAAAAAAGATAGTCTCACTTTAGAGATTCCTAATCTAAATTATTACTATTATTTTGGCTAAAATAAGATCTCTCATTATTTTTTTTTTGTTATCTCTTCCTATAAAAAAGGGTTTAATGAAATTCTGTTCCCTTATTTCTGTTTTTATTTCTCTGTTTTCCTTTTTCTATTCTTTTTCAAATACATATAATGTTTATAAAATAATATTAATAATTTTAATAATCATTTTAAACTATTTTTCAAGACTATAGGATTTTTTTTTCTTGTTCAAAATATTTCTTATATTAAAAATATTTTCTTACATATTAAATATTAAATACAAATAATTATTTTGGATGAGATTATTTTTAAAGATTTCTTTTCAAAAATTAGCATTTTTAGACACTTTATTTTTGGATATGAGAAATTTTATGGATTTTTCAACTTCTTATTCATTTCAATTTATATTTATTATATATTTTTAAATTAAATTTAATTATTTTAAATAAATTATCAATAATTAAAAATAATCTTATATTATAATATAAATAATTTTTCACAGTATAATATATAATTTATATATTTAAAAATTATATAATATTTATATATATTATATTTAATTCATTACAATTTTATTTATATAATAAACATTTAAATTTAATATGTACATTCATGTACAATGCATCCAGTTATGAAAATATCATCTATTTCTTAAAAAATAATCTTATTTTCACATTTTATATCTTAATGTCTTACCTTTATCAAAATCTTCCTCTCTAACTTTTTATCATAAGAAAATATTAAAAGTAATGAGAAAAAAATTGAAGAAACATAAGCTTAATTTTATATCACACATTTCACTTGAACATTTCTTTTTCTCTTTCTTGTTAACATTAGAGTGAGTTTTAAATTTTGATAATCATTGACTTATTCATAGCATTACTCATTGGGAAGAGAGGTGGAGCAAAGTTCGCATGCGCCCAAAAAAAACAGCCAGCACAGTACGAACACAGTGAATTATTGTACAATAATAGAAATAGGCAATAGGTGTGAGGGTAATATGGGAAATGACCAATGTCTCAAACGTAACTAACCTCATTGGTATTTGTTGGCTCTTTAAAGGGCAGCATTGACATTGAACGCTATTAAAGTACTCAGCAGCTAGTAGTTACGTTCTCATTCTAATTTTCAACCCTCTCTTTCTCTCTCTACAAGACTTTCTCTGTCCACAACCATCATAGCATTATACCACCCCTTCCACCACCCTTCTCTCTTTTTGTACACAAGACACACACATCACAACACAACACAAGAAAGAGGAGAGGGAGAAAAATAAAAACAAAAACAAAACAAAAGGTGGTAGATGCATGAGCCACAACACAACACAACACACACATTATCTCATACCACACTCACCACCTTGTATTCCCCAAAATTCCCATAATTCCCCTTCTCTTGCCTTTTGTCTCAGATTTCTCACCACCCCACTTGCCTCCTCTCTTCTGTACTGCCACCTTGCCTCATTTTTTTCAGGTATATTTGCCAACAACAATGGCTTATTGTCCATCTTTCTATGTCTTTTTTTTTTGTGTGTCTTTTGTTTTTGTCTTTATGAGGGTCCTTCACTTTTTCCTCTTTGGTGTGTGATGAGATTTCTGGTGATGGGCATTTTCAGTTGACTGCTCTAGAGGCCAAAGACTTGGTCTTTCTCTTGTTGGCTTTTGTGGGAATTGAATTTTCTTGTGAATGTGTGTATTTGGCTTGTGTTGTGTGAGGTCAAATGGGTTTGTCTCCTTTGTTACCACCCCCTTCCAAGAAAGGTGGTAGGTTGATGGGGTTGACTTCAACCCAAGGAGAAAGACTTGGCTTATGTGCGTGATTTTTGTTTCCAAAATTGGATTCCATTTAATGTTCTGAGGGATTTCCTTATGAAGGCCATGATATTATCAACTTCGTTTAAAAAAAATTGCTTATTTATTTGAAAATAGTTTATCATCTTTCCCTTTTGAAGGGGTTGATGATACTTTCTATTATGATCAAATTGAATTGCTGATTTGAACAATTGTTTACTAAGGTTTGTTCTCGTTAACAGTGATTGAAATTGTATCATGATCAAGGTTTCTGTGCTTTTGTGCATATTTGTTTGTGAATGAGTTTGACTAAGGTATAAGCATAAAGAGCAAGATCATTTTGTTTGCAGTGCATAAAAGTCTGAGCAGGATCATTAGCTAAATCATGTTTTATTGGGATCTGATTCTGAATGTTTAATCCGTGCTTTCCTTCTTTACTGTAAACTTCTGATGATAATTTATTTATGTCTGGTCCCAGAACTAGGAAGAGACCATTTCTTTTTCTAGTATAAATAGTCATGTGCATTCTTCTAAGACACCTTTTGTCCTTTACTCATTGGCTGCAAATTATTTTCTTGTAGACTTGATCATTAATATTTGGATATCTAACAAGACATTACTTGTTTTTACAATATGGAACTGATTTTGGAACTTTCTTCTTCCCATATAGGTCTAACTTATTGTTCTCATCTGCCTGAAACTATTCTATTTGTAGGTACATTTCCTGCTAAATTCAAGGAAAAAGTTGGTATTATTGGAAGTTAATCATCGTGCTTTGATGACTTGGTAAGAAAACTTGAACTAACAATGGTAAGTTTGAGAAGGCGCAGACTTTTGGGACTATGCTCAGGTAGATGTTGGTAAACATGTTTCTATCTATGGTTATGGAATATGCTGTTATGAGTTGTCTCGTAAATTTAACTGACATTTTGCAATATATTTTTCCTATTGCAGGGAACAGTTCCTTTGTCACTCCACTTCCTCTATATTGTGAGAACCTATCTGGTTTTGAAAACTCAACCCAGCAAGCAAAACCGAAGACTGAACAGCCTGGGCTTTCCGATGATGCCAGCATCTTGGACAGTGTATGAACAAGATTACTAATAATAAATGCTTATATACATGCTTTTTTGAAGCTTCATTTTTTTTGTATAAAGGTACTTATGAGTTTTTTGGCCTTGGTATCTGTTTTAGGGCTTCTTTTATTTAGCATTCCATTTCAATGAACTACCTATCCGAATCATTCAAACTTTTATTCTTGAAAATGATAATGAACTTTTACTTTATTTTTGTTACTTTGCTGCAAATTCAATTGAAAAACCAGGTCAGGAAGAAACTTTGACATCAGTTATGGCATTCTCTAACTTCCTTTGGAAATATTTAAAAAATTGAGAATTCAACCAATGAGAGTTACTCAATTTGATTTCAAGAGTAACAGCTTTCAAATAATGATGTGTTCTGATCATAAACATTCATCTTTAGATGAATTACTATCTCTATCTCTTCAACATGGGTTTGCCCCATATCTAAGTGGTTGGACAAAATTTTTTTTCTTTATTTTCTCTGACATTTTGGATAATTAGTTGGATAAACTTGGTAGTCCAATTATTCAAATTTATCTTTAAAGTTTACAAAATAAGGTAAAATGGTGAGTGGTTACATTTCATCATGTCTTACAAGTCTGCTTCCTGTCCTAATACTTCTAGAAGCTTTATCTATTTGGATTCAGTATTCTTGCTTTTATCCGTCCAAGGTCAAATCTTTTGCTTGGACTGCTTTTCTAAAACTAATTAATATCAAAGATTCACTTCAAGTTCAAAGACCTCTAAATGCTTTCTCCTAATTGTTATGTGCCGAGTGATTCTTAAAATGGTTTTCATTTGTTTCTGCATTGGTTATCAGTTTCCCTTATCTGGAATAATTTGTTTGGTGTTATGTTCCCAGGCTTTGGCAGTGTTCTCAATTTGTAATTATTTGGTGTATCTAGTTGCAAAAAAGTGCTAGAATTTTTATGGGTTGATTGTTGCTGAGTTCATTTGGGTTCACTTAGCTTCATTGCACTATTCAGCTAATGGTCTTTTTAAGGAGTGTCTTTGTGAAATTTACAGAGAGATTGACACATTGTTACATATTTCGTGTTCATAGTTTTTTGTTTTCTTTCATTCTTGGTGTATCTTTTGAGGGTTTCTTGCATTTGCATCTTGGTTAAGAGCTTAACTCGACTTTACAAAATTGACTTTATAGGGTTGAGTTAGGTCCATAACTCACTATTCTAAGATAGTACAAGAGTTATCTAGACCCATTTTAAAAAGGGTCACCCACCATTAATACATGCACCAAGCTCAATAGTGTTAGGTGTGAAGAGGTGTATTAGAAAAAGTTCAAGTCCTACCTATCCTACATCATTAAAAAGGGTCATTTATCATATATCGACGTACCAAGTCCAATAGTGTTGAACGTGAGGGGATGTATTAGGAAAAATTTAGTCCTACATTGACTAGTGATATTATAAACAAAAAGTATATAAGTAGGAGATAACTCTCATCTTACAAATCAATTTGTAGGTTGAGTTAGCTAATAATCTATTTTTCTAAGATGGTATCAGAGTCCATCTTAGTGAGTGTTGTTGGACTTATTAGGCCACCCGCTATTAGGTCAAACCCACATCAACTAGTCCTTGGTGTAAGGGGATGTGTTAGAAATCCCACATCGGCTAGGAATAAAGCCATAATAATTTATATAAGTGAAGAGCAATTCTAAATGTGTTGGAAATCCCACATCGACTAAGAATAAGGCAATAATAGTGTATATAAGTGGAGAATAATCTTCACCTTACAAATCAGTTTGGTAGAGTTGTGATTGGCCCAAACCTACTTTTTAAGACTTTTCTTTATAAATTCTTTATTAAAAAAAAAAAAAGAGATGTAGAACTGTTCCAACTAAGGCAATATAGCTTCACTATGAGTTTGCAAATGACAAAAATAATTAATATTTATGGATATTTGAATCTAACCAGACCCCTCTGGTTTTAGGAAAGACTACTGCATCCTAGAACATGTCTGTAGCTTGCAGAACCAACGTTCCTTTCGTGACTGAAAACCATTTACTAAAAGAAAGATAGATACATTCTTCCTGTTCTGTCTTTCTTTTAGCATAAAAAAATCTAGCATTCCAATTTCTGGTTGCATAAGCATTCCCATTTCTCCTCGGGATAATTATCCTTGTCATGTGATCTGCTTTTGCTTCGATATACAACAACCACCCCCACCACTGCTACCAATCCTTATCCCATTTTGTGTGGTGGCTGTGGCTACATTGATCAATTGCTGCCACTTGGCTCTATCTTTCAATCATTAAGATTTTATGCCATTTTCAGGTTGATGATTTAGCATATATGGAATAGATGTGATCAGAATAGATGTTTAACTAAGTTGATAAAATTAGAAAGTTATGCCCTTGGTAGTTTTTCTGTTATTTAAACCTTGGATAGCCAAGAACTTACACTAAACTGTTTTATCTTTACCAGAACACCGTTGTGCAAGAAGAACCAGGATCATCAAATGTTTCTGGTTCTAGCTCATCAAAAGAGCATCTTATTCAACAAATTACAGGTTTGTCATTTAAGAGGCTCCTTTTTTCCCCCGTTTTCTGTTCATGTCTGGTTTTGTTTATAATGAGTTATCTGACCTAGTAAAATGATATTTCCTTTAGGATATTTTTGGAATTATAAATTTGAAATGATTTGATGTGATTTTTATTGATTTGAGCTATAAATCAATTCTCATGTTTGGAACCCATTATAAAAAAAGTATGATTGGAACTGATTTGCAAATCAAATTTCTTGTTTGGAACACAAAAGATGAATTAAATTGATTTTATACTAGTAATTTACTTTATTACCTTGAAAAAGTTAAATGGATTAACTAATTAGGGCAAAAATGTCAATTCCAACAATTGAAACTAAAATAAAAACACATTCAATTCCAAATTTTTTTTGAATTGATTGCTATTTTTAATCTGCTGAGATAAAAAAATTAAAAATGTAGTTTCAAAATCAAATCAAAATTCAAAAACCCAAAATATTTAATTCCAAACATATTGTTACAACAATGATCTTTTAAGATCTTTTATTCGTTTCTTGAGTTATTTATCATTGCTTTAATTTAGCTTAATATATTCCATTAATTTTATACTTTATTTACCATAATTGAATAAAAAGATAAGAACCTGAAATTTTTTTTAGTATTATATACCAAAAACAGTTGACATAATGATAAACTCATGACATGAAAATAAGGGATAATGATGGAGTTTGGTGTGAAGTAAAATTCTGTCTTAATGCAACCACTTCATTAGACCTGTTCAAGTCAGCTTACCTAATCAACTTGCATGATCTTGTTTATAGATCAAAGTTATCTGTGGACAGTATTGTGCACTATACTTTCATTACAAATTTTTAGATCACACATGGAGAATGGCCGATTTGGTAGTTAAAAACGGTATTCATACACATGATTACGTGAGGACTTGTGCTATTGTTTTCCTGATGCATCATGTTGGTCCACTTGCTAATACCATTATATATCTTGAGCCAAAACATACCTAATTTGACAATAGTGATAGAAATGTTTAAACGTTTCCATATATTTTCTTTGATCCATTTTGTATTCATTTCAATAAATGCAATGAATATATTAACTTCACTAAAATGAGTTGTTTTGGTAAATGCAATGAATATATTAACTTTACTGAAATGAGTTGTTTTGGCATATCATTTTACAAAAACCTGTTAACGATGAAATTCAGCAAAAAAAAAAAAAAAAAAAAAAAAAAAAAAAAAAAAAAAAA